GACCAAAACTGGACGCAGTATTCCAAGTGTGGTCCTACCAAGGCATTATAAAGCAAATCGTAGAAGCCACCATAGAAGCTGCCAAAGTCAACATTTGTATGAACCCAGTTTGTCGTGTGGCTAGTTCAACAATAGCGATACAGGTTTAGTGTTTAGGGACCAGCAACCTGGTCATTCAGTGAAGTACTTGTATGTGAAACATGGTGATTTTACAATCTCACTTCAGCTTTCCTTTGCTTTACAGACCTGCAAAGATAACAAATTTGAGAACTAGGGGACTGTGTGGAAACTTTTCACAAGCAATGAAATAAAGCTAGGCTCTAATTTGTAAATGGCTTACCTTGAAAAAGAACGAAGAATTAAGAACTTTAGCAATTCTAAGAAAGAGAGCTGCTTGGAGCCCCTTTTCCCTTTTTTGTATTTTTTTTTTAAAAAAAAAGCTATAGAGGAAAGAGGTGTATGTTTGGCATTTTGCACAACTCGCCTCTCATTGTTTTGTTATGCTTTGCAAGCTGCTAGTAATTAGCGCATTTCGACTGTTGCTTTTATATTCTCAATGGGCAGCCCTTTGCCAAGCCTAGCAAGCTCCAACCCATAAAATCTGGCCTCTGCAGAAACTTTTTGGGAATGCATTAGAGAGGACGAGAAAAGGGGAAATGTGCCCTGAGCACTGAGCTTTTCGTTTGAATTTGCTCTTGATGGAATATTATTTATGGCCATGTGAAATATAATGAAGGCAGGTAAGCTCTCCCTTCGCTCCGTTCGAGCGGCTGAGGAGCGCATGGCGCCTGCCTGCCGTTTATTTCAAGATATTCATCTTCTGAAGTTCTCTCAGCCAGCGTCACGTAGAAGACGCTGGCATGATCCAGCGAGAACATGAAGGAATCAGGGCGAACTCTGAGGCAGCCTTTGGGCTGGAGCAAGGCAGAAGAGCCAAGAGGGAGGACCCTTGGTCACAACTAGGAAAGCAAAAGTGGACACCTTAGCTAGAAAACGTTCGATCTGACATTGCTGCTGCAGGAAAGGAATGTTTTCAGGGTATATGGAAGACAAAAATTATACCCTCGGCTTGGATCCAGGTGAAGGGTTGCCCATGTACCTGAGATAAGAGGCAGTGCTTTTTTGCCTCTGAGGAAAATAATTGTTGGAACGTGTTGGGCGCAACACATCAAGAGTTTCTTCCCAAGCATCCACTTGAGATCTATTTTTTTTTTTCATTTTTGCTTTAAAAATGGTTTTAAAAGACCCAAGGGCCAAACAAGAAGTAATTTTCTTCAGATCCATGGCTGGATTCCCAAATGTCTCCAAATAATTGGTTAAATCTCGTTTTCTGCCTACCATGGAAGTGAAAGAAGAAAGGGGGGGGGGGAAATGGGTTAAGGTTGAAGAGTCTTTAGTAGAATGACAGAACATGTAGAAAATCTTTTAATTTCATTCCAAGCATCTCTAATTGCAGACAAAACAAAACAAAATATCTTGGATCTGGATTATTTATTTGGTAGCTTACTTAAGATATTTCTTTTACATGGAAATATTGGAAAATTCCTTGTATCTAGCCAGCGAATTGATCTGTTGTCTTTAACATCTAGCTGGAAGCGGCTGGGATTAATGACGTAAATTGATGAACAGTGTTGAAACTCCCCGTACAATTTATAAAACAACTCCAGATCCTGGACTGATTTGGAAAATTGCCATGTCAATGGTGGAGAGCATCGTAGAATGAGAGAAGAAGCAAAATCAAGGGAAGAAGGAACTAGCTCCAGTTGCATTTCTCAGTTCCTTTGAGTGATTAACTCTTCAGCCTAAGTGGAAAGGATTTTCAGAATTTACCTGGATAAATTTAGAGGAACCAGCCACCCATTATCCCCCTCCACAAACGTATTTTAAAAATACATTTGGGATCCATTATGGCAGTGGTGGCGAACCTATGGCACGGGTGCCAGAGGCAGCACTCAGAGCCCTCTCTGTGGACATGCGCGCTGTTGCCCCAGTCCTAGGCCTTCAGCTGGGTTTTATAAAACCTTTTTGTTTTAGGCCTCCGTCGCCGTGTACAAAAAAAAAAGGTTCAATCAATCAGTCAATTTCAACTTCTCGCGGGGAAAAAAAAGATCTTGCAAAGTTGGAATTGATTGATTGAACTTTTTAGTCCCACCCAGTCTGCCGTTACCACCGCAGCCACACCCACCCAATGGGCCACACCCACCCGGCACCCGATGATGCATAAGTGGGTTTTGGGTTGCAATTTGGGCACTCGGTCTCTAAAAGGTTCGCCATCACTGCATTATGGGATGCTTTGGGATCCATTATTACAAGTAGTCCTTGACAGTGGTGGGATTCAAATAGGTGAACAACCGGTTCTCTGTGTGGATGCCGCTTCCGGAAGTCCGTTCTGGGCCTGGGCAACAAAAAATTAGCTACCGGTTCTGCCAAACTAGTGCGAAGTGGCTGAATCCCACCACAGGAAGGAAGGAAGGAAGGAAGGAAGGAAGGAAGGAAGGAAGGAAGGAAGGAAGGAAGGAAGGAGTTGTGGGATTCAAATATGTGAACAACCGATTCTCTGTGTGGATGCCGCTTCCGGAAGTCCGTTCTGGGCCTGGGAAACAAAAAATTAGCTACCGGTTCTGTCAAAGTGATGCAAATCGGCTGAATCCCACCACTGGTCCTTGACTTACAACTATTTGTTTAGTGACTGTTCAAAATTACAACGGCACTGAAAAAAAGTGCCTTACAGCTGGTCCTTGCAACTACAACTGTTACAGCATATCCACGGTCACATGATCAGACTTCAGGCGTTTGGCAACCGGCATGCATTCAGTATGGCTGCCGCATCCTGGGATCACGTGATGATTATTTGCCACCTTCCGAATTGGCTTCAACAAGCAAAGTCAATGGGGGAATCTGGATTTGGTTAATGACAGCAATATGATTCACTTAACTATTGCAATAATTCGCTTAGCAACCGTGACAAAAAAAAGGTCATGAAATCAGATGCGATTCACTTCACAACCACCTTGCTTAGCACTGGAAATGCTGGCTCCAACTTTAAGTTGAGGATTACCTGTAATTGAAATTAAACAGGATGCCTTCATCTCACCATCTTCTCAGCTAAAGTAGGTAAAACACAGTGGTGTCCACAGAGAGGGTTAAACCTGCTGGGGTTTCCAGATGATGCTCCATCCACCATTTTGCTAGTTTTGACCCACCCATCCTACAGATGCCAGCACCTCCGGCACTCCTGGAGGTTTGTGAGGAAATGCCAAAATTAGTCAAGCTGTTTCTCCTCTTTTGCCAAGGAAACAGCATTGTGCAGAAGAAAGAGACTTCATTTTCCTCATTCAGTTTTCCTTTCGCCGTTTCTCTGGGTCAAAAAAAACCCCTACCCTAGAAATAACATGACCCACAGTAAGCAAGCTTTCAATTGTGTGTTTATCAGCTCCATCCCTCAGTACAAACAGACCACCCAGACCTGGCGGGGTCTCCAGACTTCCTCCATGTCTCCCCCTTTGTGTGTGCCAAAGCAGATGGGCTGGTGAGCGTTAGGATTCGCTGCTGTGTTGTCTGTGTGCTACGCAACCCTGGAGAATAGCTAAACAGTCATGTTTCTGGTTTATAACTGGACTGGCAGAAATCTGGGGGAGAAGTTAACCTATTGCAGCAAATCCTCCACCCCACAGTTATGGGTGGGTTTGACCAGCAGGCAGGCCAAGCCAGAATGTGGCTGTATTTTTACTTGTAGTGGTTTGTTGAGCGATGCCCATCTCAATCTCTGCTTGCTTTTCAAAATATTTACTCTGCTCACAAAAGGGGGGTGCCAACACAGCTCTGACCCCCTCCCCAAATCCATATCTGATCAAACCACCAAAGATCAGCCCAACATCAAACAATTGAGAGCCAACTGTCTCTGGAAGCCATTCTAACAAACACGGAATTATTTTGTTCTCTGAAATCTGAGTCCATAATCTGCAGTTCACAGATAGCCCCATCCCAGCACCTCTTTGCAGCCCCTGAAACATCTTCAAAAAGGGTTGGGCAAAAATATGGAGGTCATTGTTGGTCCTGGAGGAATCGAAGGAGCATCATGAATGCTTTGAACATTGCTGAAAATTAAAACCCCTCACAATCCCAGCAACTCTTCTCTTGGGGATCAAATTGCTTTCCACCCCTTTTGAGATAAGGAGTGGGGTCTTAAGGGCGAAAACAGAAGCTTTTAGTCTCTGCAAGTCTTCAGGTCCCCATGTTACCTTATAAAGCTTCCCAAGTGTCTCCCATCAAATTAAAAAGGGCCAAGATTTGTGGAAAGATTCAAGCTTACCCACAATGGAGGGACGGAGGGATGGGAAGATAATAGAATTTGCTGAGACATTGTCTTAAGTTTAATGACGACTGAAAACCTCTTACCGTATTGACTTTTTGCAAGAAACAGGAAAAATGAAGTTGTGATTATGGTTTTGATTATTGGAATAAATATAATAGGTTGTAGAAAAATGTAAGCAACGCTGTAACCATAGAGTAAGCAGTTAATTTGTATTCATACTTACAACTGCTGTAAAAGAAAATGAGAAGTCACTATGAAGCAGTATATAAGTCTAAGTCCTATTGCTATTGCTAAATACGGAGCATTATTTTGTTGCAGAAAACAAGAATATGTTGAAATATATGGAAAATATTACTTCTCCATAATTGTTTGTTTGTTTTCTGCCTTCGTACATCTTTCTTTCTTCCTTTTTTTTCTCATTCTAAGTATTAGTTCTTATTAGATGTTACTCTGTTTTTCCGCTGGCTGGGGAATTCTGGGAGTTGAAATCCACAAGTCTTACAGGTGCCAAATTTGGAGATCCCTGCTCTTTAACTCACCTGGCTATTTAAACCAGTCATTTAAACCTCACTGCATTTGCAGACCTAGAGCTGCTGTTCCCTGAAACAGATGCAATTTGCTGCAAAAGAAATCCAAAATAACAGCTTCTCCTCTTCTCTCTCCTCTTCTCTCTTTCCAAAATTAGGTACCTCTGAACTCAGCCCCTTCTCTGACCCACGGCAGTTTGATCGGTCCTTCTCTGCTCTACCAGGCCTTACCGAGACCCAGTTTCCAGACCCAAGAATGCATTACCCTGGCGCCATGCCTGCGGCCTTCCCTTACACAGCGACACCATCCGCTACAGGAATCGGTGGCCTCAGTATGACCAGCATGCCAACAGCCACTAGGTTCCACCACACCTATCTTCCCCCGCCGTACCCCAGCTCCACCCAAAACCAGAGTGGACCTTTCCAGACCAATCCCTCCCCCTACCACTTGTACTATGGTGCATCCTCCGGGTCGTACCAGTTCTCCATGGTGGCAGGAGGAGAGCGCTCGCCAACCCGGATGCTGCCCTCTTGCCCGAGTGCCACAGCAGGAAACAACTTGATCAATCCCAGTCTCACCAGTCAGGCTGATGGTGTGGAAGCAGACGGGAGCCATAGTAACTCCCCGACAACCATGACAACAACTGGGAGAATGGACGAAGCTGTCTGGAGACCATATTGAAAAAGGACTGAAGGCCAAGCCATGTTCTTCAGAAATTGGTGGTTCAAAGGAGAGAAGAACCAAAAAGAGCTGCAACTGGTGATCCTGTCCACTCCATCCCCAAAGTGGCGTTGGCATCCCAAATGAGATCGTTCTTGTCCAAAACATCGATCATAAGAAATGAAACAAGCACAGGAAGGCTAGCGATAGCATGAATTGGGATTCATTTCGAAACAAATCTTCATGGGTTCTTCTCAACAAATGGTCTGTGACAGCTTTCCCCCAGCTTGGAGCATCCAAGTGGATTGGGACTACTTGGAGTTGTTACCTGCACACACCTTGGTGGCTCTCGGCCACGAAAGACTGTCTGTTGTGTCCAGAACAGACAAAAGAATGGGTAGAAAAGAAATACTTTACTTGGTTGTAGCAAAATGGCCAAACACAAAAAGTTCTGCCTTTCCAACTCGGTGCCTCCCAGATAGGTCAGATTAATACCTTCCAGTATCCCCAGCCAGTTTGGAGATTATGGGAGGTGTAATCCAACACATCCAGAGAGTGCCTGCTTAGAGAAGGCTGTGCCTAGCAATCATCTCAAAGGCCAAGCAGTGTTTCAAATGTATGGATGGATGCATGGATGCATGATGGATCAAAGGTCCCTCAAATAATGGAGCTGATGGCAGAGGTCTGTGAATCCAGGTCAGACTGAAGTTAGGATCAGGATGTTTTCCTGTTTTGCACTGCACACTTTACTCCTCTCTAAGAGGAGGTAAGAGCAAAACAAAAAACAAACAAAAAACAAAAAACCCAGGGCAGAAGACAAAGCTTGGTGATAGAATGGGAATCCAACAGATCCTATACAGAACACGTGAAAAGATTCTGCTACTTCAGTCCCACGAAAAAATATACAACTGTGATTTTGTTCCCTGGGGTCAGAATTCTCTTTCTGAATTTGAGCTGAAGCATTTTGGATGTCCCACTTTTTCCCATTAAGATGTTGAGCTGGCTTTTTAAACCCCCGTTCTGATATCCCCAGATACCAGATGGCCAGATGAGAAGTCATAAGTGTAGAAAGGTACAATCTCCCCGTCAGGAGCCAACAAGCTGGAATGCTGATGGCCATCTGCCCCAGAGATGGAGAGTGAACCCATTCTTTCCATCTCTTTCTAGCTACTTATGAATTTGTGACCAACTGATAGGTGCTTCTCCAATCAAGGAGCATAAGTCTGCTTCTTGCTGAGAAAGTAAGTCTCATCCAGCTGAGATAAACATTGGGGGGCTCCAAATGTCAGCCTCTTCCACAAAAGACCTGGGTAGAGAAGAACAGCCCAGCAGGGGAGAAAGCTAGTTAGAACCCTTTCCTGTCCTATCAAAAGCTGTTCTTAAGGAAGAAAAAAAAAATCTTCTACTAACTCAGTCATGGATTCACACAACCAACTTAACCAGATCACTTACAAACCTTGCAGCTTCAAATTGCACAACGCAGAAAGTTAGAATATTTTCATCTTGGTTTTTTTGGGAGGGTCATTGCTTTCGGGAAGGGTTGTATGCACACAGCTTCGCATGTTGGGTGAACACAACCCATTGGGGTTCATTTGTTCTGTGAACGTGAAATTCCAGAAATTAGTCGGTTCTCAAATCAGAGTAAGGGTGTCTGCATGATTCTTTGGGCTGCTCCTTTTCATCTGTAAAGGATGTAGAGGTTTTGATCTATTCCTTGTGGTTAGGAATCGAAACTGGCCCGAGTTTCTGGATCAGGCAGAAAAGTTCCCCATCAGTTTTGTAACACTGGGCCCTTTCAAACCAACGGCTTGTGGACGACTAACACTTTAGGAGCAGAGCATACAGTATGTTCTGATTGTCCCTAGTCCAGCCTTTTGTCTTCTCCACCTAAGGCGAGCTAGTATCCCAGATAACACTGAGAAAGTTACCTATTTAGAGATAGTCCTCGACTTACAACAGTTCATTTAGTGACTGTTTGAAGTTACAACCGCACTGGAAAAAAGTGACTTAGAACCATTTTTCACACTGACGACCGTCTCAGCACCCCCATGGTCAGGTGGTGATTTACATTTGGATGCTTGGCAACTGACACACATTTATGACACAGTTGTCATGTCATGTGATCCCCTTTGGCAACCTTCTGACAAGCAAAGTCAATGGGGAAGCCAAATTCCCTTAACGACCGTCGTTACTAACTGAACGACTGCAGTGATTCGGGTAACTAAATCTGGTGAGAAAAGTTGTAAAATATGGCAAAACTCCCTTAACAAATTTCTCACTTAACAACATAAATTCTGGGCTCAATTGTGGTCGTAAGTCGAGAACTACCTGTATATGCAGGGGGGGTTGCCCAAACACCGAATCATAGTGTCTTAAAGTTGGAAGTGGGATAATCTAACCCAGTGGTAGGCAACCTTGGCTCTTTTATGACTCGTGGACTTCAACTCCCAGAATTCCTGAGCCAGCCATGCTGAGGGGAAAGGGAGAGGTTTCCAAGCTGAGCCATGCTGGCTCAGGAATTCTGGGAATTGAAGTCCACAAGTCATAAAGCAGCCTAGGCCTAGGCCAGAGGTAGGCAACCTCGGCTCTTTTATGACTCGTGGACTTCAACTCCCAGAATTCCTGAGCCAGCATGGCTCAGCTTGGAAACCTCTCCCTTTCCCCTCAGCATGGCTGGCTCAGGAATTCTGGGAGTTGAAGTCCACGAGTCATAAAAGAGCCAAGGTTGCCTAACCCTGGTCTAACCCCTGCTTAGTGCAAAATCCATGAGGCCATCCGTGAAGACAAACATCCAGCTACTGTTGGAGAGCCTCTAGCAAAGGACATCTCACTCACTTTAAATTCTCCTGCTTCACGTTAAAAATTCGTAGCTACCTTTGTACCATTTGCTATTTTTTTTTCATCTTGATTCGAGGTTTTGTGGCTGTGTGAATCCAGGTCATCTGGTGAATGTATGGTTTCGGTTCCAAGAAAACGTTTCAATTCAGGAACCAAGTGGAGCATGTTGGATGAGTCATTAGTGATCGCTATCAGAGCAGACAGAAGCAAAGAGATCCAGGTCTGAGTTGATACAAAACAGCTTTGTCTACAAGTGAGCAGAGCTAAACAAGGACGGGATTTCTGGTTGGGTCGTAGCTCTTTTTGCACTTATTCAAGCAATAAAAGCTCTCTAGTTTTTGAATGTGGAAGGAAGTTTTTGGTGCTAACCAAGTGTCCCATTGTCCACATCCTTACTCCTGACTATTTCAGAGTGTGCAAGCAATGGTGGCTGATCCCCACCAGTCCTAGTGAGATGGAGACAGAGCTAAAAAGAGTCTCATTTCCAAGCCACCTTTTTTTTTTTGTCTCATAGACATCAGGATACTAAGACTCTGTGCAACCAAAGAAAGGATGACACTTGGTCACCTCGCCCAGATCCTCTTCCCCATGCAAGGCGAAAAGCCCCTTTTGGCATTCTGCTGAGATTGACACACTGTGGCTCAGACCCAAATTTACTACTTGTATGAAATAGGAAGGCAGCTTGACCAGGCAGTTGATCTAAAAACCCAAATTCAGCATCTGGTCCAGAGACTAAGCCAGGCAAGGCATCTCCTGCAGAAGGCTATTCTTGGCAATCCGGGTGTATTAGTTGTGTGAATAAATAGTCTGCTAGTTCTCTTTTTAAAAGAGGCATCAAGATACAGATCCT